TTCAGTTTTCTCCTGAGGGAAACATAAAGTGGGACCTTTATTCTACATGACCTTTAAGGTTGCTTTCAGATCGAGCTCACATTCCACCTGCTTAGAAAATATGCCCAACATCTCATGATATTTCCATGAGAGTCTATAAACTATCTAATGTCTCCAATGTTAGAATAATTGCAGAAGTCATACAACACTCACACTCTTGAGTAAGAATAAGCGTCTGTGGTAATTTCACAGAGAAAACGTGGGCAGTCTTTCAAACACGTTTGTAGAGAATTCACACATGAGATCGATCTCTTCCCACAGATCCACCCCCGGTCAGTCTCACTGATCATATATCTTCATGATGAAATTCAAAAGAGGTTGATCATATAAAAGCAATCCTCATATTCCTGAAGATACATTTTACTATGGGGACTTTGTTACATATTCTTTTGTGTCAAAAATTTTTCGCTACACTGAAAGAAGCATATTTGTTGATAATGTGTTGTCTTCTTCTAGTAACTTAGTATGACGTGGCCCTCATAAGAAGGCTAAGTCCATGACACAGGAGTAGGATTAGAATCTTAAGGGAGTAGAATCCAGTTACTCTGGATAATTCATTGGATTCTTTATCATTCTATCTACATTGCTGTCACCCTGGCTAGGTGTCAGTCTCCCTTTCTATCCCCTCCATGGGAAATGGCACTCCATCAATTTCATAGTCTACAAATACATACTTCATAAATTTCATACACTTAATTTGTGAAGCATCTCACCAATTGTTGTAACTATTAATGTACACCCAGTGGCAAATTTTTATCTATTTTGAGAAGGCTGTGGTTGGGAGATTGTGAAGTATACTTAATGATTGATAAAGTAATTTGAAATTGCAAGATATTGATAGACATGTTAATAGAACTGGAAAAAATGTATAATTTTCCACCTTGAGCAGTTTTTAATATAATATTTTTCATAAACCATGAATTGTTAAAGGCCTAAAGACCCACTGACTGTGAATTGCCTATTTATTGTGTTGGTTATAATAGTCAAAACTGGACTACATTTTTTATAAGAATATAATTAGCTTGTTTCCACTGTAGCACTAATGGTCAATTTTAGTAAATGGCTCAAATAATCTAGGAAGTAGGGTATCCATGTTTTTTTTTTTTTTACAAAGTTTTCTGAGGTATTGGCCAAAGAACGAAGGGCAGACATCAATTTCTATGATGCATTTGTAAATATTGACTATAAAGATGCCTCATGCAATAAACTGGATCTGTAGAAACTACTACTAACAATGTAAAGTTATTTATCAGTCCACTGTTTCTATATTAGATATAAGGTATGAGTGGTTTACCATTTTATAGGTGATGAATGATTTTCAAACATAATTGCCCAATGAAGACACAGAAGAATTGTACAAGGTACTAGGACTAGTACTCTAGTTACTATTTGGTGAAAAAGGTGAGGTTTACTTTTAATAAATATACGTTTTACTTTATGTCACATGCTTCATCAAACAGCTTCCTCCCTAATACATAAGTAAATATATATTCTTATTTTATTAAATTCAAATTGTGTCAGTGGCAAGAACCTACTGATTCATAAATATTTGCAACTTGCCTAAATAAATTAGTTCTGAGTGCCTATTGTTTGCTCAATAAGTGAAAGATGTGTTTTCTTTTCCACCACTGTAATAGTTAACTATTGGACCAAGGTTATTTTGTACTTTTCTGCACTTTAAATATAATGTCATGTGTTGGTCATGGGTACATTAATTGCTATTGTCAGAAGAAAAAACTGGGGACATAAAAAATCAATCCCCTCATGTAATCTTTCCGTGAAATGTGTACATCCTCCAAGCTTTCTCTGCCGTCTGAAGAGCCATTATTACTTATGTTGGGTTCCTTCAGCATTGGTCTCTTCAAACATGATATAGACATGGTGACCACCTTCATTTATCTGTACAAGTCTAGATGGAACCCTCACTGAATCAATTTCAGAAGGAGCCAAAAGATGTCTTTGGTTCATAGCAATGCCTCTTCACAAAGAAAACGTCACTTATATATTTAAGATATAATACAATCTCTCAAGAGAGAAATGACTTGTAAGGTGTGAAGGCATCTTCAGTCAAAAACCTCTAAGCCCAAAATGAGTTGAATACATATCCACGGCCATTTTAGTTGCTCCAGTGGAATTGATTTTGTGAAGTTCCAGGAGACTGGTACAGCAGTAACTTTCTATCTTTGGTTTTTGCAGAAGATTGATCTCCTTCTCATTTTTATTACAACACACATTGCCTCATGTCAACCACATTAGGTTATTAATACAAATTCTCCTGTCTGTTCATTCAGCAGTTTTGACTTAGCTACCATTGTAAGTATACTTGGGAGGAGTATTCTAGATTAAAGTTCCAAAAATTTACCATGGAATATTCCATAGCATTATTCTCATTGTGATGAGATTGGGTTAAAGACTTGTGAAGCTAATTGCTCTCTCACACGCTCTTTTTATGATATTATTTTCAGAATGAACTGGCCCAAGGTTGCACTTGATCTTTGGTGTTCCTCAGTTATGCTCACTGTTAATGATCAGAACCGAATGATGCTCTTGAAGCAGTTTCATGCAGATATTTGTCTCCTACCAAAAAGACACAAGAGCAGACTCATTAGCAGAATCCCCCCTGGACTCGCTGTCTGTGCTGCTGGCACATTAATAAAGCTGAGATGTGAACCAGGACCCCTGAGGGCCTTTCTCCATAAGTCCCTTGTAGAAACTTGTGGTGTCTAAGCAACAGCTCGACTGAGTGAGCCAGCCAGAGGCTCGCTCTGAACGTGGCCTCACTAGGAACTGCGCTCAAACGGTCTCAGCTGGGAGTTGCTCTGGTATGTTTGACTAATGGCATTTCAAAAGCAAATGCCATGTGCTAAAGAAATTCAGAGGTGTTTAACCCTGAAAGCTAGGATTTCAGGGAAAGCTGTGTAGTTGTAAAGGAACCAGTCATCTCCTCCTCTGCTGTGTCAGCAAAATTCACAGTGCAGAGAGTTTGGGTAATTTTCTTTTTATCCCTGAAAGCTTAGGATGATTATTTTTTGCAGCCACATTAACTCTTATGATTAGCATCTTGATGGGGTTTTCATACCTAGCTGAGTGATTCAGAGAGTCTAGGTAGTTGCTATAAGTGCACATTTATCAAGGAGGGACCCAGAACCATTTTTATTCAGTAGTAATTCACTGAAATATGTTGTCAACTGCACTCAAGCTATGTACAGGGATAAAAAAAAATCCTTATCAGAGATCAGCAAAAAAGGTACCCTTTCAACAGACTAACCTTGACAGTTTAAAAAATTTTGCTATTAAGAAAAAAATCAGGTTTTCCTCTTGCATGACCTGGGCTCATTGTTCTTTAAACCCCACCCTAAAGTATTTGAAAGAGAACCATCTTAGGCATGTGGCATCGGATGATTCAGGCAGGATAATTTTTATTTCTACTTTGGTAAACTCTAAAATTAAGAGCAAACATATCTGTGTTGATCTGATTTAACTAAACTTCCTCAGTTCACATGCACATCACCACTTCCCTTTAAACCTTGTAGGTTTGTCATTGGTGTCAGGGATGAACACAATTATAGTTGATCCATTTTTTCTTATAATCCCAGACAACCTATGTCCAGGAAAAGAAAAAAAAAATAAATCTCAGAAAGTTCTGGTTACACAGTAAAGTACAAGCCCCGGATGGCTCTCTGAGAATGGCATCTGTGAAATTTTAAATATTGATATCCACGATCTTATGCCCATTTATTCTTCTCCTGACTGAAAAATAGCTGAGTTTTTTTTAAATCGTATTTTTATTTCTTCCTTAAACAGTTTCTCATTTAGAGCCTCTCTTTTTTCTCAAGGTCAAATGGAAGCTTATCAGTGATCACACTCAATCTTCCTCGTGTAGCTCAGATGCGTGGCCGAAGGGAACAACAACGTCAACGTGAAAGGAACACTAACCAGAAAGACAGTGTGATGATGATGGGAGATGCAAGACAGTTTGACTGGTTCTTTTTCTTCCAAATGTTCCCCTTCTCACATTTTCGCTTATTACTTGTCATAGGAGCAGACTGGATTATATAAATACTTTTGCTAATAAGAAGCCTGCTTTAAAAAAAATTTTTTTTTTACAGCACTATTTTAAAAATAGCTATTCGACATAACAATCTTAATTTTAATGCACCAAATTACAGTTTTCAACAATTTAAGTGAGCATATCCTGTCACCCTCAGCACATGTTTGATATATACTTGTTATACATAGATGGATACAGCAATATCCGTGTCTATATTTGTCTGCAGACACACACAAACACACACAAACACACACACACACACACACAGGGAGTAGAGCTACAGGACCCTGCTTAATAGTGTGTTCTGAATTTCATGTCCCCTTAATTGTCACTGGGCTTATTTATGTGAAGTTAGGATGCCATTTGTGGAACTTAGTGGATTTGTTCCCGTCAAAACTTTAAAAGCCACAGAGCTTAAAGGTGGGGTCACCATCATGTCTTAAGGGTAGACCTGTGCTCGGACGGGGCTGTAGGGTTGGGGAGAAGGTGCCCCCTACCCAAGCACAACCCCAGCCCAGTGTGGGCAACTCCTCACGGTGCCAAGGCTTCTGCTACTGTCAGACCCAAAGAATCTTGTTGACTGAAATGACTGTTCGTACAATTTGGATCCTATTATTATTATTATTAGTTTTTTTTGTGTGTGTGAAACATAGATTTCCCCCAAAGAAATTCAATAAATAAAGGACTTAGCCACTGAATCAAGGAAGCGGAACTCCAGTTTTTAACCTTCCGATGGGATGGGGGCTCGAGACCCGACCCATTTCAATGTGTGCTGCAGTTGGTCTTCCAGGAGGCAGAGGGCGCAGTGGCCCCGCAGGCGGGCCCAGGACGGACTGTCTCTCTGGTCGGCGGCGGCCCCGCGCGTCACTGGATGAGGCTGGAGCTGTAGCTGAACCCGTAGCTGCTGGAGCGCGACAGCGGCTGCGGCGCCTCCTCGCCCTGCTCGGGCGCGTAGCTGGGGAACGTCTGTGCTCGCGACATCTTGGACGAGCCAAACCCGTGGCCTAGGGAGGAAGAGAGCAGAGTCAGTCGTGCTGAGACACGGGTTCGGAAGAGCAAAACAATCCCCAGAGCAGAAGCCTTCACACCCTAGGTATGGAGCTCAAGGTAAGCCGGGGTGAAAAGCGAGCAGCCTCGGTGCCTTGATCCTCGAGGAGGTAACCGTGCTGTGTTCAGAGCTCAGTGTTTTTCCCCCCAAAATGCACCTTGCCGAAAATTCTGGATGCCAGAGGAGCCGCGTTGATACTTTGGGAATCTCAAACCTCTAGGACCCTTCACCTTTTGGAATAAAAGCTGAAAAGCTTTTCTCCCCCAAAAAAGCTGTTTTTGATGGGGAGGCCGCGTGAGTGGCTTCCTTTTTCTCTTAGGCTCAATTTCAGTGTACGAAAGCAAATCGCACACTTTCTTCAAACCTCTGTGATGATCAGGAAAAAGCGTTTACAGTGCTGGAGGCGGAGGTCCCAGCTTCTCCTGGTGGGGTTTTGTGAGTCGCCACAATTGAACCCACTTCATGATGCGGTTAACCAAAATGATAGAGCTTGCTGGTTACTAACATGGCCTAAAAGATGAATTCCATACAAAATATACTTCTAAAAAAATTCTGTCTATGCTTTTGGTCTTTCAGCTGCACCCCTGTGATGAGAAATCGTCTACCTTTGTAAACCAAAACAGAAATGATTACTGACAACTTGTCAGAATGCTAACGATGTATGAAGAAACATGCATGCTAAGGATTCACATGAACTTTCCAGCGGTTTCCTCATCCTTTTTAAACCAGTAACTATTCTTCATACTTGAGAATGATTTGTATCAGATGGATGAGCTTGGGGGAGAGAAAAGAAAAAATAGATATAGTATGTTTCAGATTTTATGTTTTCCCTAAAGGAAGAGATATAGTTAATGTGATTTGTATTTTAGCTGATCACTAGGGCAAGAACAGAGAAGACAATCTATTAACATAGAAACACCGAACATCTTGTTGTCAGACTCCTCAGGTGGCCCTGTCCTTTGCAATGTCACACACTTAAAGCTGGTTTCATTGTCAGGTGTGTTTTGTGCCTTGGAAAATGTTCTTGCAGTATGGGAAGCTTGGGAAGCAGGGAAGAAACCCAAATGAATTGAGCAATAAATGGCTAATTAAAACTGGTAGAACCACTTAAATGTTAAAAAATTGAGAGAAAAATCTTGCTTTTTTAGATAAATATCATTTTAGATTCACTCTTTGCCCAAATCTCTTGTCACCAGAGTCACCAGGAGCAGATTAGAGAGAAGAGAGAGCAGGGCATTTCTGCCCCGGGGGCTTTCCTGCTCCGCTCCCCTGGCTGGGTCAGTAGCCAGTCCTGAGCTTCCAGAACTTTCTGCTCCTACAGCTGTTGCTGTCCCTACTAAGGCTCTCACTTCCCCCTCTCTCCCAGAGTCCTGTAACCCCATTTCCTCTCTTTGGCCCTCAAGCCTGAGGGCGGTAATGCTTCTGGCTGTTGTGCATTCTCCACAATTTCTTACTGGTTCTCACAGCTCTCAATAGTCCCTTCATTAAGTCTTAAACACTTCAGCTGAGTGTGTCTTCTCTTTCCTGCAGGGCCCTGATGATACAATAAAGAAAAAATGGAGTGGGGCAGAGGAGGGGAGAAGTTAGATAGTTAGAAGGTAGGTTAGAGCAGGGGCTGAAGAAGGGGTCAGGGGAAGGGTCAGAGGTCAGAGGTGGAAACTCTGGAGCTAGAACACCAGGTATAGATGCTGCCTCTGCTACTTACTAGCTTGCAATCCACCTTAAGGGGCTTACTTTGTCTCTGGGTTTCTTGGGTTTCTTATCTGCAAATTCTGCATGAAAATAATGGTACTTAGCTTAATATAGTCCTTTTGAGTATTGAAACAATGAGTTAATCCATGCTAAGCACTGTCACCCTAGTAAAGAGATATGATGTCATAGTTATCTCCAAGCGGGAGAGTTAACTAGGGAGGTGAAGGCCTCCCTAAGGAGGTGGCATTTTGGCATAATGTTCAGATGACAAAGTTCTGATACACTGATCTGATAAGGGAAAAAGCTTTTACAGTTTTTAATGATTTTTGTCTCATCATAGCATTGACTGTAGATGACAATTCATGGTTCCTATAATTGAGGATACTAGCATTTATCAGCATAAGCCATCTGGAAAGTCTAATATTAAGACCCTGTTTTCAGCCTTGGTTTTATCCTGTTATTTTTTAAAACTTTAGACATATCTGAAAGTGCAATGCTGGGGCACTCCTTTAATTTGCATTACTGTGGGCTGAAAGCTGAGGCTTGAGAATTCAAAATAGACTTTGCCTATGAACACAATTTTTTATCCTGGGTGTAAAAAGTCAGTTGCACAACTAGTGTTTACCAATCATCTACTGAGACAGTCCTAGACTCCCCAAGAAAGATGAAGTGTGGAAGGTATGGTCCCTGACTTTACAGAGTTCCATGTGGTTTTGGGAATGATGATCAGACAAAGACAGACAACCATAAGCACCACATGAAGTGGTCACACAGCCAGCGCCTTACAGGATCAGAGGAGAAAGCTAGCAGGTGTGTTGTACTTGAACACTCACAAGTAACTTCCCCTTCACTGAGTGTGCAGACCCCACCAGTACCAGGGACTTTTGAAACAGACAGACTTGAGTCCTGCCATACCTTGTAAGCCTCACTTTTCTGCATGAGGAGAACATGCCTTCCTAAGGTGTTTGGAGGATTGTAGGAAACAACACCTGGGAAGACACCTGGGATGACAGACATGCAATAAATGTGAGTTTTATTCTTTCTTTCGTATACTTGTCATTCTTTTTGTTCAATGCTTATGCTTTCTCCACTATCTCAATATGCTGCCTGTCACTACTGCTCTGGTTTGAATGCATTTTCCAAAATTCATATGTTGGAAACTTAATTCACAATGCAGCTGTGTTGGGAGATAGGGCCTAATAAGAGGTGATTAGGTTATGAGGGCTTTGCCCTCATGGATGGAATAATGTCATTACCATGTGAGCAGGTCAGTTATCATGAAAATATGACTCAAATTGTACAAAAGTAATTCATGTAACCAAAATGTTTGTACCCCCATAATACTCTGAAATTAAAAAAAAACATTATCATGAAAGTGGCTTAGTTATAAAAGCAAGTTCTATACCCTCTTATTTTCTTGTAGTCTCTTGCTCTTCCGCCTCCCACCATGGGATGACACAGCAAGACGGCCGTTAGCCTTAGACTTCCCAGCCTTCAGAACTGTAAGAAATACAGTTCTTTTCTTATTAATTATCCAGTCTGTGGTATCCTGTTACAGCAGCACAGAAAGGACTAAGACACTCATATGACATATTTTGAATATTTTTCTCTTTCAGTGTCAACATGGTTTTCTTCACCTCCTCTATGCATAATTTCTAGTCTAATTAGAAATAAATTATGATTTTTCTTACTGCAACCAGTTTATAAATGATGCTATTAAATGCTTGTCACAAAAATAACATACCTTAATCAGAACTGTATATATGAAGGCTTTGTAAGTGCTGTTTGATTTTAGCAATAATGAGTGTGAGGAAAAAGAGAGAGAAATAATTAAGCATTTTCTCAACATTCGTTTGAATTATGCCCGTGGGCACTGTTGATAAAAGCACAACAAAACCTGATGGAACAGACATGTTCATTCCATTATTCAAGGATTGTAGTTAAATCCTTCCTAAATTTTTCCTTCAGATCACCCCCTACAGATAGATAAGGCCACTATGTACCCTAGGGATCTGGGGGATGTTCCAATTTAAAAGTAATACATATGTTAATCGCTATCAGTCTATTTTGAAAGTCCTCTTGAATTTTGATTTACAATCTATGTGCACTCATGTTTGTTTTAGTAGAAAATAATATTTTCTACCCATATATTCATTCAGGTAATGTTGCCAGTCTTGGAAAAAACATACTATTTTTACCTCGTGATTCAAGTATACTGTGAAATGACACTCATACCACGATCCCATCACCTTCTACACATGGTATATATACATGCCCCAGAATCATAGTCCCATTACAAAAATAAGGAAATATATTGGATGTAGAGACATTTAAAACATTTGCTTTATCCCACCAAAATTATATTACCCCTCCCCAATTCTGGGAGCTCAGGGGTTTCACACACCAATGAAGGCAAAACCACTCTAGTCTTAAAAAGAAACTTTCCTGCTGTATCATAAAAAATCCAAATGAGTAATGAACTAGAAGGAACACAAATGCAGTTGAAAATAACAACCAATTGGAAAGTATGACCAGAGATTCACATCATGCATAGGAGAAAAAAAGGAGCATGACAGCTCATTATGAATATCCTCTCTTTCCTGAGGAATTAAGAAGTACATTGTTGCTGGTACAGACCACTGAGTATTCCCTTTTGACTAGCCTCTATTATTCTATTCTTACTAACACCTATGTTTTTCTTGATATACAACATAAAGGAAATTATTTTTTGTAGGAAGTCAGAAAGATCCCAAAACATAAAACTTGTGGTATTAATTGGTAAGAGACCATGGGCCCAGTAAAGCTCTTTCATGATTTGAATTTATGTGTTTTAGTAGTTATTAGAATCTGGGGGAGATGAAAGGGTATTTTCCTTTTAAATAACAAAACAAAACCAAACAAAAAATGTAAAAAATAAAGTCTCATGAGGAAAGGAACAGCCTGGAATAAAAGCATGAACAACAATTGGGCCTAGATAAACACATGGGAGATACTGTCTCCCTTCAACAAGTAGCCTGTAACCACTAGGGGAAAATGGAGGGGGCAGGCTGCAGATTCAGGCATGAATGGAGGATGGGATGGAAGGAAGGACTTGGGGTATACAACAAAGACCTCTAAGGGTTCTCACTGCAGTGAATTGGGGACCAGGTTTTTAGAGAGTGTTTAATACTTGTTTGTTAACTTTTCAGTTAGGTAAAAGTTGAAACTGAACTAGAAGGAGACCCAGGGCTGTCTACAATACCTTAGTAACAGCCTTATATATATATATATACACACACACACACACACATATATACATATATATGTGTAAATGTATATATATACATTTACACATATATATGTAATTGTTATATATTATATACATATATGTATATATACATATATGTGTAAATTTTTAATATATGCAATTTTTAATATATATACATATATATGATTATATATGTATATATACATATACACATATATGTATATATATAATATGCATATATATGTGTAAATTTTTAATTGCTATATCATAGTTGAGCGTATTTTTTGGGTACATCTGATACTAATATTTTTATACATGTATATAATGCATAATGATCAAGTCAGGGTATTTGGGATATTCATCACCTCAAATATTTATCTTTTCTTTATGTTGGGAACATTGTAATTCTTTTCTAGCCATTTTGAAATATACAATAAATTATTGTTAACTAAAATTTCCTTACTGTACTATTATTGAATACTAGGACTTGTTCCTTCTAAATAGCTGTATTTTTATACCCATTAACCAATTACCTTTCATTGCTCCCCCCCTCTGGTAACTACCATTCTACTCTCCACTTCCATGAGATCCACATTTGAGTGAGAACTTGCAATATTTGTCTTTCTGTGCCTGACTTATTTCACTTACCATAATGACCTCCAGTTCCATCCATGGTACTGAAAATGACAAGATTTCTTTCTTTTTTATGGTTGAATAAAAATGCTGTTGTGTATATATACCACATTTTCTTTATCCATTCATCCATTGATGGACACTTAGATTGATTCCATATCTTGGCTATTGTCAGTAGTGCTGCAATAAACATGGGAGTGCAGATACCTCTTCGATATATTGACTTCTTTTCTTTTGAATATATACCCAGCAGTGGGACTACTGGATTATATAGTAGTTTTATTTGTAGTTTCTTGAAAAACCTCCATACTATTTTTCATAATGACGGTACCACTTTACATTCCTACCAATAGTGTATAAGTATTCCCCTTTCTCTACATCCTTGCCAGCATTTGTTGTTTTTTATCTTTTCAATAATAGCATTCTAACTGGGGCAGGATATCTAATCGTGGTTTTGATTTGCATTTCCTTGTTGATTAGTGATGTTGAGCATTTTTTCATATACATGTTGGTCATTTGTATGCCTTCTTTTGAGAAACATCTTTTCAGGTCTTTTGTCCATTATTTCATTTATTTATTTATTTATTTTTGAAACAGAGTCTTCCTCTGTCACCCAGGCTGGAGTGCAGTGGTGTCGTCAATCATAGCTCTGCAACCTCAGACTCCTGGGCTCAAGGGATCCTACTGTCTCAGCCTCCCAAGTAGCTGGGACCACATGCATGCACCACCATGCCTGGTTTTTTCCATTTTTTTGTAGAAACAGGGTCTCACTATGTTGCTCAGGCTGGTCTTGAACTCCTGACCTCAAGTGATCCTCCCTGAGATTATATATGTGAGTCACTGTATCCAGACTTTTAGTCATTTTTAAATTGGATAATTTGTTTTTTGGGGTTTTTTTGCTATTTAGTTGTTTGAATTCCTTACGTATACAGTTATTAATTCCTTCTAAGATGTATAGTTTGCAAATATTTTCTCCAATTCTGTAGGTCGTCTCTTCACTTTGTTAATTGATGCTTTTGCTGTGCAGAAGTATTTTAGCTTGATGTAATCCTATTTGTCTACTTTTGCTTTTGTTATCTATGTTTTTGAGGTCATACCCCCAAAATCTTTGCCCAAACCAATGTCCTGTAGCATTTCCCCAATGTTTTCTTTTAGCAGTTTCATAGTTTCAGGCCTTATGTTTAAGTCTTTAATTCACTTTGAGTTGATTTTTGTATATGGTGAAAAATGGGGATCTAGTTTCATTCTTCTCCTATGGATATCCAGTTTTCCCAGCACCATTTATTAAAGTGACTGTCCTTTCTCCAGTGTAGATTCTTTGTCAAAAATGAGTTGTCTGTGTGTGGATTTTTTAGCAAGTTTTCTATTTTGTTCCATGGACTCATATGTCTGTTTTTATGCCAGTACTATACTATTTGTTTGTTTTTATTATAACCATATTGTAATTTGAAATCAGTACTATGATACCTCCAGCTGTGTTCTTTTTGATCAGGATTGCTTTGGCTATTCAGCATCTTTTGTGGTTCCATACAAATTTTAGAATTGTTTTTTCTATTTCTGTGAAGAGTATCATTGGTATTCAGATAGAGATTTACATTGAATTTGTAGATTACTTTGGGTAATATGGACATTTTAACAATAGTAATTCTTCCAACCCATGAGCCTATGCATACCTTTCCATTTTTTGTGTGTCCTCTTCAACTTCTTTCATCAGTGTTTTATAATTTTACTTGTAGAGATATTTCACTTGTTTGATTAAATTTTTTGTTAGGTATTTTATTTTTTGTAGCTATTGTAACGGGATTGCTTTGTTGATTTCTTTTTTAGATTGATTACTGTTAGCATGTAGAAACACTACTGACCAATAAGAAGTAATGAAATTGAAGATGTAATAAAATGTCTGTCATTAAAGAAAAGCCTAGAAATTGATGGATTTACTGCTGAAATCTTCCAGACATTTAAAGAAGAACTAATCCCATTTCTCTTCAGACTATTTCAAAAAATTGAACACGACGGAATACTTCCAAACTTATTTTACAAGGACAGCATTAGCCTGACACCAAAAACAGATTAAGACACAACAAAAAAAGAAAAGCATTGGCTACTATGCCTGATAGACATAGATGCAAAAATTCTTGATAAAATACTAGCAAACAGAATTCAACAACATATTGAAAAGATCATTCACCATGATCGAGTTGGATTCATCCCAGGGATGCAAGGATGGTTCAACATGGACAAATCAATACATGTGATGGATCATGCCAGCAGAATCAAGGACCAAAACCACATGACCTTTTCAATAGATACTGTAAAAGCAGTCAATGAAATTCAACATTTCTTCGTGATAAACACTCTCAACAAATTGAGTATAGCAGGAATATACCTCAACACGGTAAAGGCTATACATGACAAGCCCACAGCTAATATCATACTGAATGGGAAGAAATTGAAAGCCTTTCCACTAAGATCTGGAACAAGACAAGGATGTCCTCTCTCACCATTTTTATTCAATGTAGTACTAGGAGTCCTAGCCAGAGCACTCAGGCAAGAGAAAAAAAGAAAGTGCATCTAAATTGGAAAGGAAGAAGTCAAATTATCCTTGTTTGCACATGACATGATCTTATATTTAGAAAACCCTGAAGACTCCACGAAAAAGCTCTTAAAACTGATAAAAAATATTTAGTAAAGTTACAGTATACAAAATCGACATCCCATATATTAATTATGCTTAGAGATGCCAGGACTCATTGTCAGCATCTCTTCTGTAAACTGTATCTGAATTTTACTCAATTTATTTTAATTACAGTGTTAAAGAAGTTGGGTTTGATCTTTGTGCTCTTCCAGGGTGCTTCTGATGTTCCTTTGGAGATCTCAGGGTCTCAACTTAGTCCTCCTCAATGGATTTGTGGGGTTGTCAAGGCTCAAGTTCAGCACATTTGAGCCAATGGGAAGGAAGATCACTGGTTTTAGCCCATAAAGAGCCTGATTTAGAAAAAACCATAATATAATAACCACTGTTCTCTAAGCACATACTTCATGTAGATCCTGTGCTAAATACCTTAGAAATATTATTTTTAAAAATCCTCATATGAAATCTGTAAGGTGAGATTGTGATAGTTAATTTTAGGTGTCAACCTGACTGGGCTAACAGATGCCCAGATAGCTGGTCCTACATTATTTCTGAGTGTGTCTGTGAGGCTGTATCTGGAAGAGGCTAGCATTTGGATCAGTAGACTAAGTAAAGATGATCTTCCCTCACCAATGTGGGTGTGTTTCATCCCATTCATTTGAATAGGACAAAAAGGAGGAGGAAGGGTAAATTCTCTCATTTGAGCTGGAACATCCATCTTCTTCTGCCCTTAGACATCAGAGCTCCTGGTTCTCAAATCTCAGGACTCCAGGACTCACAACGTTGGCTCCCCTGGTTCTCAGGCCTTCAGAGTTGGACTGAATTACACCACTGGCTTTTCTGGGGCTCCAGCTTGCAGATGGTCGGTCAAGGAACTTTTCCGTGTCCATAACTGGATGAACCAATTCCTGTAATAAATCTCCTTTTATGTATCTACATGTGTTCTGTTGGTTGTGTTTCTCTGGAGAACCCTTGCTTATCCATATATCCTCATTCTTCATTTGGAAAAAATAAACTTGACACCTAGAGGTGTTTGACAACTTGCCAAGCTAGGTGGTGGAGGAGTCAGATCTAGGTCTCTTGGAAATGGAAGCCAAAGCACGTTAAACACATGGCTCACTTTAGAAGATAGCACAGCTTCAAGAGAAGGAGTAATGCCTTCTCCTGTTTTAATTATATGAGTTTTCACAACTCAGTCCCTAAAGACTTAGTGAAGTACCTGTGAAATGGCAAAGTATGTTGCTGAAGAACAAAAAACAACGCAAACAAGTAAAGCTCTGTCTTGGTCTGCTAGGGCTGCTATAATGAAATAACAGAGACTGGGTGAGACTGGATGGCTTAAACCACGGACATTTACTTTCTCACAGTTCCCTATGCTAGAAGTCCAAGATCTAGGTATTGGCAGGGTTAGTTTCTTCTGAGGCTCCTCCTCCATCTTCTTGCTTTGTCTTCACGTGACCTTTCCTCTGTGTGTGCACGTCTGTGTCTTAATTGTTCCTCTTACAAGAACACCATTTGTATTGGATGAGGTTCCACCCATATGGCCTCAGTTTTACTTTAATTACCTCTTTAAAGATCCTAACTTCAAATTCAGTTACATTGGGAATTGGGGAGTCAACCTATTTATTTTGGGGGGGACACAATTTGATCTATAACAAGCTACAAAAATAAAATGAATCAGGAGATATTAACTTATGACACCTTTTCTTTTGCTAGGAATTATTT